GTGTGCGTCTGTGTGAGGGAGAGGGATGGAAATAGTCTCTCTGTGTGCGCCTGTGTAATAGGACGGGTTGGTGGCAGTCTCTGTGTGTGTGTCCGTGTGAGAGAGATGGATGGAGGTAGTCTGTGTGTATGTGTGTCTGTGTGAGAGAGAGGGATGGAGGTATTCTCTCTGTGAGTCTGTGTGAGAGAGTGAGGGAGGTCGTCTCTCGGTGTGTGTCTGTGTGAGAGAGTGGGATGGAGGTAGTATCTGTGTTTCTATGTGTGTGTTTGTGTGAGAGAAAGGGGTAGAGGTAGTCTCTCTGTGTGACTGTGTGGGAGAAAGGGATGGAGGTAGTCTGTGTGTGTGTGTGTTTCTGTAATATAGAGGGATGGGGGTTGTCTCTTTGTGTGTCTGCGAGAGAGAGGGATGGAGGTAGTCTCTCTCTGTGTGTCTGTGTTTGAGATGGGGATGGAGGTCATCTCTCTGTCTGTGTGAGTGAGAGGGATGGAGGTATTCACTTGATGTGTGTCTGTGTGAGAGAGGGGAATGCAGGTAGTGTTTGTATGTGTGTCTGTGTGAAAGAGAGGAATGGAGGTTGTCTTTCTTTCTGTGTCCGTGTGAGAGAAGGATGGAGATTGTCTCTCGTGTGTCTGTGGGAGAGACAGGAATGGAGGTAGTTTCTCGGTGTGTGTCTGTGTGAGAGAGAGGATGGAGGTTGTTTCTCCGAGCGTGTGTGTGAGAGGGGGATGTAGGGTGTCTCTCTGTGTGTCTGTGTGAGAGAGGGATGGAGGTCGTCTGTCTCTGTGTGTCTGTGTAGGAGAGAGGCAAGCAGGTAGTCTCTGTGTTTGTGTTTGCGTGTCTGTGTGAGAGAGGGACGGAGGTAGACTGTCTGTGTGTGAGTCCGTTTGACAGACAGGGATGGAGGTAGATTCGCTGTGTGTGTTCTGTGTGAAAGAGATGAATAGATGTAGGCTCTCGGTGTGTGTCTGTGTGAGAGAGAGGAATGGAGGTTATCTGTATTTGTGTGTGTGTGGCTGTGTGAGAGAGAGGGATGGAGGTCGTCTCGCTGTGTGTGTCTTTGGAGGAGAGAGGGATGGAGGTAGTCAATCTGTGTGTGTGTCTGTGAGAGAGAGGGATGGAGATAGTCTGTGTGTTTGTGTGTGTGTGTGTGTGTGTGTCTGTGTGAAAGAGAGAGATGGAGGTAGACTCTGTGTGTGTGTGTGTCTGTGTGAGATAGAGGGATTGAGGCATTCTCTGTGTGTGTGCGTCTGTGTCAGAGAGAGGGATGGAGGTAGTCTGTGTGTGCGAGTCTGTTTCTGTGTCTGGGTGAGTGAGAGAGAGGTGCAGCTCGTCTCTCTTTTTGTGTGTGTGTCTAGGTGAG